TTTGTCATCCACTCAGAGTTAATTCTCCAGCACAGAGACAAGAATATATAAAAAGAAAGACATAAGAATCAATAAACAGGGGTGCCTGGGTGGCTCAGTCGGTTAAGCGTCTGCCTCTGGCTCAGGTCATGATCCCAGGGTCCTGGGATCGAGCCGGGCATCGAGCTCCCTGCTCCGCAGGAAGCCTGCTTCTCCCTCTCCCACTCCCCCTGCTTGTGTTCCCTCTCTCGCTGTGTCTCTCTCTGTCAAATAAATAAATAAAATCTTAAAAAAAAAAAAAAGGTAATACCTTTTGTGGGCAAAATGCTTATTGACAGAATTATTTTGATTAATTTTGTCCCTTCATATTCATTTCAGGAACTATCTTTTCTCTTTTTTCTTTTTTTTAATTGAAATACAGTTGGTATATAACATTATATTACTTTCAGTTGCACAGCATAATGATTTGCTATTTGTATATGTTGCGAATGATCACCTAATAAGTCTAGTTAACATCCATCTTACAGTTACAAAATGTTTTTTTTCTTGCAATGAGAACTTCTCAGATCTGCTCTCTTAGCAACTCCCAAATATACAACACAGTCTTATTAACTACATCATCACTGTACTGTTTTTTTACATCCCTAGGACCTATTTATTTTATAACTGGAAGTTTGGACCTTATGATCCCTTCACCCATTTTGTTGCGTGCCCCTCCCTACCCAGAGTCGCCCCTTTCTTAGAGTTCGTGCTCTTGGCAAACACCCAGTCGGAGAGGAACTCCGTTCCCTGCCCCAGCTCGTTGGCCTTTCTTTCTCTCCCTTTCTAAACAGAGTCGTTCCCTCTACTCAAACAGGTCCCTCTGGCTTTCCAAACTAATTTCATCTAAGCTTCTCCTGAAGGTGACTCACCTCTGCTCTCCTGTCATTATTCATATGTTTATTTCCCCACTCCTCCCTTCTGTGCTTCTTTGGCTCTTATCCTCCCTGTCACTGAAAAAAATCATTTACAAGGGGCCTTTTTTTTTTCCCCCCTGACAGATTGAAGAGACCCATGGGCTAGAGACAGCATCAACTGAAACCAAAGCACCACGGAAGTCTAGATTAGAGTCAACCCCCCTCAGTGCTGGGGCTGGTTCCTTCGGCACCCACCACAGCAGAACTGAATGCCTTCTCAAAACTCAACTCCACTGGGAGAGAAGTAGCTGGAAGCCGATCCAAGGACAAGCCACAGATTTGTTCAGTACATGCAAATCCTCTACTTTCCTTGTGCTCTTCACTGACCTCCCAAGTATGAGCTGAAACAAGTAAAATGTGGGCACGGTGCTGGGATGTTGCCAACAACAACCATGTTGCACAAAGCCTGACAAAGGCCTGGCACTTTCTCCCGCCCTCCACGCTAGCAGTACAAGACCAGTCATGAGCTTCTTCAGTCCTTTGTCAGCAGGCCTCCAGCTGTGGGCTGTGGCATGCTAACGAACAGTCTGACAAAGACATAACTTTTCACTCGTACAAGGACAGAGGAAACTCAGCCAATTTTGCAGATATTTCAGCCAATTTCTCCTCCCACTTCCCACACCCAAGAACCGTGGTCCCTCTCCTCTGAAGCAGAATGGCTAGAGAAATTCTATGAATTTCTCAAAACAACAGAATTGTTTACAAAAAAGAGAGAGAAAAAAATGCAGAAATCTATCTAAAAGAAAAAATCCTCACTTGAAAAGTAACTTCTTAGTTGATTCATTATCTTCCTTGGGGTTTGCTTTGGCGAGTTTCCCGATGGCCTCCTGTAAACCACCTTGTCCACAGCCCGTGACCACAGAGGGACTCCACCATTTTCCTGTTCTAAGATCCGCCATTGCTTCCCGGACAACTATATTCCCTCCTCTCTCATCCTCATCTTTTCTTGGCTACCCACATAATTGCCATTTTATTTGCTTATCGTACTTTCGTGTATTTCAGACCTATCTGGGGATGCATCTTTTCCAGTTTGCTTTAGTGAGTGTCTGTGGGTGGCAAACTGTCAGCTTGTGTTTATCTGTCTTTATTTTGCCCTTGTTTTTGAACAATATATTCATTACATAACATTTTGAGATGTTGGTATTTTCTTTCAGCACCGTGAAGCTATAATTTCATTGTTTTCTGGCTTTCACTGTAATTGTTGAGAAGTCATTAATAAATCAGGTATGAGTCTACCACTCCTTTGAAGATAATACCTTCTTTTTTGTTTGTTTATTTCCGGCTGCTTTTAAAATCCACTATATTTTGGGATTTGGCATTTTCATGAAGCTGTGTCTAAGATCGGCTTTCTTTTTATTTGTCAGGTCTGCAATTAATTGGGATACTTGAATTTGTGAACTATTGTTCTTTATCCCTTCTGGAAAATTCCCAGATGTTGTCTTTATGAGTTTTGCTTTTTGCCCCATTGCCCCTCCCCTCTCCTTCTGGAATTCTGACTTGAAGTCTATTAGACCTCACTCTCTTTTCCATATCTCATGGCTTCTCATTTTTTAAGTGTCTTCTGTTTTTTTTAATGCTGCATTCTGGTTAATTAATTCTATTGGTCTCTTGGTGTACCAGTCTCTTTATCTGGGTTTAATATGTTTTATACACACCTATTACATTTTAACTTTTAATAATTAAAATTTTTCTAGAAGTTATCTTTTGAGAACTGTTAAGTCCTTTAAAGTTTTTTCCCCCTATTCTCTACATACGTTTTAAGGCTCATCTTTCATAGTGTTAAATATGGTTGATTTGCATGGAGCACTGGGTGTGATACACAAACAATGAATCATGGATCACGACACCAAAAACTAATGATGTACTGTATGTGACTAACATCACATAATAAAATAAAACAAAGTTAACAAAATAAAAAATAAAAGTTATATTGTTCGCATACAATCCTTCTAATATATGAAGTCTTCACGCATCTGTTTCTGCTGGTTCTCACTCTTGGTACATGGTTATTCATTATCGTAAGTTTCTCGGTTCTACGGAAAATAATGTTTGAAATCCTTGGAAAGTTAAAAGGAAGGTGCCTTCTTCAAGAAAGGTTTGCATTTGCTTTGCCAGATGCCAAAAGTCTTTACTAGTCTAAAAACACTTTAAATTAAATTCATAGCTTGAGGGCGTGGAGATAACACATAAGATATGATTTGGGGCTGCAAACACATGAAAAAGACAGCTTACAGCTACAACTTTCCAGAACCTTTAAAAAAATTTTTTTTGGAAACCCCACTTTGCTTTGTGCCAAGGATACTTTCCTTCCAGTCTTTACGAGTGGGAGTGTGGGGTAGTGTGAGAAACATTGGTTCACCCTTATCCTAATTATGCAGCACATTGTGTCCTCCGGCTTATGGGAGGAGGACCTTCTATTAGGCTCCAGCACTGGACAAAGATTTAGTTCACTTTCTCACAATCTCACCTCCTTTCTCTTCTGTCTTGGTTGGTGCTTTATCCATGCCAGGTTATCCCCTCTCTTGAATTTAGGATCTGGTTCCTCGTTGGCCTTTGAGGGGCCAGATGATGCAACTCAGAAGGGCAGGATGCTACCTACTGGTGGGATGAAACTTGACCAGTGGGAAATGAGAGATGGGAAGGAGCCACACAGGTAAGTTCCTCTTCCTTCCTCTTTTACTCGGATGACTACATGGTGTGGGTCATTCTTGCAGCCCTTCCAAGGACCAATCCCCTCCCCACCCCCGTTACCTACGCACATCTGCAGAGTAACCAGCTGGGTCCATCACTAGCTGCTCGTGAGGCAGCAGCCAGCAGGGGAATGTATTCCATGGCACTGCTGGACATCTCTTCTTGCCTCGCTTGCACTGCCCTGGGCCTGCACCTACCAGGTCACCTCGGTGCTGCCCATGGCTCTGCTTCCCAGGGGAACTTGTCTGAGACAACTGCTTACATTGTGAAGCTCTGGGGGTTAAATTCTGCCCCCTATGCCTTATGAGGGCATCAAAATTAAGGCTCAGGTTTACCTGGGTTGGTAGATTACCTCAGGGCAAAAGTGGCTCTGCTTATCTTGCTTTCTCGTAAAGTTTGGCTATGTAATTTCTCATTATCTTGTCAAATCTTTGATGCCTTTTAAGAAGAACCCATTTGTGTTTATTTTTGAGTGCTTTCAAAGGGAAGGTGGATCTGGACAACTTAGCCAGCCATGTTTCCGAATCTATTCTGACAGCAATCAGGGAACTATTTCAAAGATTGATATCTGATTTGTCCCCTCCCCCTTTGCTTAATGCCATTTCAGAACCCCTGATTCTTAGAATGAAATCCAGGATTCTCAACATGATTTATATGATCACATGTTCTGACTCCTGCTTACCTCTCCTCCTCACATTTTTTACTGCCATCATCATAGACTTCCTTCAGTTCCTCCAGTAATATGGCTCTGACTTGAGCCTTTTGCACATGCTGTTCCCTCTGACAGGAATCCTTTCCCTCCACATTCCCACATCCTTTACTAGCAACCTTCTACTTACCTTTTAAATTAAACAGTCATTCCTCAGCACGTGAGCAGCCCCCAGTAACTGTTTGTTGAGTTGAATCATTTCCTTTTTCAGAGAAATCAGGAGTGATCTCTGCCGTCTCCAGTGAATTTATTCCTGATGCTATCCTGGTGCCTAACAGGCAGAATCTTCTACTTTCAAGTCTTTTGTGGTCCATAGTTGACTGTCATACTTCTGAGGATCCCACAGAGCAGGGCTAGTGGTAGTAGGGGCCCCAAAGTACTCCATAGACCTGGCTAGAGAGCTGGCTCTCGTGTAGGAGATGGGTCACCTTGGGCCGGTTGAGGGGGAAATGAGTGTGAGTGAGCTTTGTGAAATGTGAATTGCAGACACTTGTTCAATTATTTACCACAGCAGCATGTTTTGAATGTCTCTTCTGTGTGAAGTGCTATGCTAATCGTGGACACACCAAAATGCAATCAGTGTGAGGCTACTTTCAAGTAGCTTTGAGTCTAGTTAGGGAGACAGGCTACACAAAAAAGAAGATCATTAACATACTAAGGTGGAATTTCTAAAGAACCAGGTGGAGATACTAAATGGCTGGAGTCATTCCTGAGGGTTCAGACATCTGGAGAGGGATTTCTGGAGCTGCTTAGTCTTGGGATGTCCTTTAAGAAGGAATTTAGCCAGCAGTGAGTCAATCTGTTGGTAATGATCACAAACTCAAAAACTTGCAGTGGAGGGGTACCTGGCTGGCATAGTCTGTTAAGCGTCTGGCTCTTGATTTCAGCTCAGGTCATGATCTCAGGGTCGCAGATTGAGCCCCACATTGGGTTCCATGCTTGGCATGGAGTCTCACTGGGATTCTCTCTCCTTTCCCTCTGCCCTTCCCACTTGTGCTCTCTCTCTCTCTGTGTCAAATAAATAAATAAATCTTAAAAAAAGAAAAACTTGCAGGAGAGAAAGGTATATTAATGACGCAAGCCAGTAATACAATAAGGAATAGTGGGGACTATGGCAAACCAGAAGATAATGTTCTAAAGGGAATGGAGGTGACTCACTCAACTCCTTGATATTATTGAGATGTGAGAATGTGGACTCTAGGATGCCATAGCTTCTGCTTTTAGAATGTTGGAAATCAGGTTTTTACATCATGTTTCTCAATATCTAAAACATTACTCCAATTCCACCCCTACAACCTTGTCTGTATGATGAACTTGGCCCATAGGCCACTAGTTTCTACCCCTACTCCAGATGAAAACACAGATGTAGTACATCACTTCATTTCAAAGTTGCTTTCTCTTGTCTTTCTGCTTAACTGCTCTGATAAACTGAGGGTTTCTGAATCTGTATCCTCAACCCCAGTCTATATCCTGAGCTTTAATATCCAATATTTGGTTGCTTACCTGGCATCTTCATCTGGAAAAGCACCTTGAATTCAACATATCTGGAACAAACTTTTCCGCCCAACCCCAATCTATTCCTAGTACACTTGATTGACTTGACTGGGCCTCCATTTTCAATATGTAAATAAGAATAATAGTAATAGCCTGTCCTACCTAACTTAGGGTTGTTTGGAAGAGCAGATCACATGACATGTGCAAGACAAGAGAAATTAGATGAAATTCCGGAGCGTGGACTTACAAGCTAACTTTGAGAGGACAACATGCTCTGCACTATGCCTTCCTACTGACATGAGAAGCAGGAGAGAGAGACAGAGACACAGAGTCAGAGATACTATTAGATCTATCTGACTGTTACCCTAGACAACAAAGAGGTGGTAAAACATGAATTTTGTAATAATCTTTTGCTGTTCAGACCAGACTGCCATCCAGAGTGTCTATGGCAGGGCAATTGATGAGGTTGTCAGTCAAGTAGCATGTCACTGCTGAGTATGAACTTACTGAATTTTTCTTAAGAAGAATATAGAGCATAGGAAGCATTCTGTTGGCTTCCCACTGTATTGGCTTCATCACCTCCAATAACGTATGCGTGAATTTTCTCAAAGTCAGGAGCTTTGGGACCCACTGCTGTGGTTACATGGGATGGAAGGGGAGCCGAACCTGGGCTGGGTTGTGGCTGCAGAAACTGCCTATGGTAATGGCAACTTCCACAGAGGGTAGGAGTGAAACAGGGTCACACAGCAGAGAGCATCCTGTCTACACGTAAGCAGGAATATTAGAAATTATAGTCATTATTCTTCCATGTTTTAGATAAAGGCAATAATATATAATTAATAAAATATAATATATAATATAATAATATTGAATATAATTGAATATAATAATATTCAATGAATGGCCTGAGCAGGAAATGAGGGAGCCATCTTCAACAAGCCTGTTATCCTCATCACCCAAATCAATTGGGCACCAATTCTGTCATTCTACCTCATAAATATGTCTAGGATCCATATTCCCATATCCACTACCACTGCTCTTGTTCCAATATGGGTTCTTGTTATCTCATACTGGGCTGTTAAACATCTTTCTGATCAGGGTCCCTCCCTCCATCTTACTTCCCACCTGTTCATCCTCCACTCTACTATCTGAAGGATCTTTCCAAACATAAATATAAGTCATGTTTCTCTCATACTTACAATGCTTTGTTTGCAACACTTTTGATTCCAGCTCCAGGTATCATTTCGTCCTCACTTAGTCACTCCCATGTACGCCCCGGATTCTGGGCAAACCTGATCAGTTGCAAGCTCTCCGAGCACACCTGGAAACACCTGGCAACACCTGGCATACAGGTGTTGGAGGTTCAGCACTGAAAGACTCAGAGAGTCAGACATGGTTACAGTGAGAGAGTAGAGAGGCAGGGAAGATGAGGGGTCACTGAGATAAGGTAGATTCTTCAAGGTGTGTTCCTTAAGCCCAGCTTGGCTCTTCTTGGGCTATCTGTGGCTGCTGATGAGTCTAAGAGCGGTAGAGCCAGTCAAGGCTTAAGCATATCTCAAATGTAAGGTTTCTCAACTGTTCCTCTATTAAAATATCCATACAAAGTACTCAAAACCCTAGTGATCGATGCCAATATGTGAATATAAGGGATAACTGTAAAGCTGGTTTTAAAGAAACTATGCTTACTTGCCAAACTTTTCCTTGGCATTAATTATTACTAACCTGAACTCTGAATTTATTTCCATCCTTTTTTTTTTTTTTTGCTTTATATTTATAAACAGTTATTCTGTCACTTATTCTTTTTATTTCTGGCCTAAGTCCTCTCTTTTCTTTAACTCATCTTTCTTCTTCTCTTCCTCTAGCTCACAGTTTGCACCTTCTCTCTGGGTGGTTTTAACTACTACCACGTGCTCACTCATTCTGGATGTGGAAGGTCTTCCAAACCTCCAGCCCAAACCTCTCCAGTGTTTTCAAAACTATCAACCACATACTTCATATCTTTGATTGGATGTCTCATAGCCATCTGGGACAAAACAGATCCTCACATGGAGCCATGCCCTCTCTAATGTTCCATATCTCAGCAAACACATCACTATCCTTAACTCCAATGTCTTGTCTCCTCCATGTTCCTTCACCTCCCACTTTCTTTCAGACGCAGAATTTTGACGATCTTACCTTTTAAACATATCTCCAAATCAATCCATTTCTCCTTCCTACTGTAGTTTCTTAGGTCAGGTCACTGTGATTTCTAGCCTAAATTACTGTAACATCCCTAATGAGTCTTGAGCTCCCTAGCTCAGTCCCTTTCCATTCCACCCTCTGCTATGCTGCCAGAATGATTATTCTGAAATATAAGTTTGGCCATGTCCTTCCCGGGGAGACCACAAATTCTGTTTGCCTGTTCCTTGGATTAGTCCTGTAGGTAGACATAAATCAGAGTCAGTGAAACCCATTGACACTTTGTTGCATTTAGCCAAAAGGATAATTTGGCTGTCTCAGTAATGAGGAAAAATGATCATATTAGAGAAAAAGATTGAGTTATTTTTTTGCACTTTCATGAGAGTGTTTTTCTTCTGCCTCCCTGGGAAAGAATAAGTCTTTCTGTGGAGCTAGTCGTAACATCCTCCGAGGTCAAGCAGAACAGTACAACAGTGTGTCCAACTGCCCAAATTTCACACAGCTTGGTTGTGCTGAGTCTTAAAAAGAAGACACTGGTGATCAAGAAGGAGAGGAAAAACAAGTCCTCCCCACACCATCTG